AGGGGAATGAGGAGGACGATGAGGGCGGGTAAGAATATTCTTCCGTTCATTTTGCGCACTCATTCTCATCCTCGGGGTCGCCTCTACCCCCGCCCTCATCGCTCTCCTCCGCCTCATTCTTCTCATTGAGGAGAATGAGGAGGAGGATGAGTACGGGTGCAAATGCTTTCCCGTTCATTATGCCTCACATCCTCATCCTTCGGGGGCGCCTTTACCCCGGCCCTCATCGTTCTCCTCCGCCTCATTCTTCTCATTGAGGAGAACGAGGAGAATGATGAGATTGACTTGCATATATCCTGACAAGCTTCATTCTTGCGTTTGTTGGCCAAGCACAGCTTTGATTCATCGTGACTTATTCATGATCATGCCGGATTCTGGGTACGGTCTTCTCATGTGTTTCCAGTAACCAAAGACAGAATACTGTTTCGCTCTGGAAGCGTCTCTTTAAAGCATGTACATATATTTTCCACACTCTGATCGAATCGGAACGTTAACAGGCTTGGTATATATCTTCCAGCGAGTTCTACACAGGTCGCACAGGCGTCAAGGCGGACTTATAGCAAGGCGTCGGAAATGTTTCCCACGTATAGAAAGACTGCAACTGTAGAGCGCCGCTGACCTGAATCTCAACTCTGTGTCTCAATAGGTCCTGACAAAGATGTAACCACATTCGCCGACATCATCAACGCTCGAACTACCCATCTGCAATTGGCAATTAGCCCAATACGCTCGCATTAGCTTCGTCCAGGGCCGGCTCGAGGGGCTGCGTGTCGCCGCCCTCCTCCGCTGCGGCGTCCGTCAGCGGCTGCGTGGGCTGCTCGCGCGCATCGGCGCCCCACCCCGAGGGCTCTCCCCCGACCGCGTGCCCGTTTCCCTGCCCGGTCTCGTTCAACAACTGCTCGCTGACGTCAGCGTCGCCCGGGGCCGTCTCGAGCGGCCGCGCATCAGCGCCCCATTCCGCTGGCCCTCCCCCGGCCGCCTCCGAGTCGACATTCGCGCGTGCCCTGTCCACCTGAAAGGTTGCGAAAGGCTGTTGGTCTTGTGCTCCATACGTGTTTCAAGCTGTACCACGAGAAACTTTTGATGCCGCTTTCTGGATCTGAGAGGCTCCGCTGTCAGCGTTCCAGGCGCTGACGTCAGCAGGGGACGAGCCGTTTGAAAGATGGGCATTGTCAGTAAAGAAAGGGCATTGTTAGTCTGAAGCGTCGTATCCGAAACTCTATGAAGTCGCGGTGTGAAATATGGTTTAGATTTAACCCAATGTGCATTAACCAGATTCAAAGGTTTTCCACCCGGAAAAGAATAGACTCTCTGTACTTCAATGTTTGGTCAGATAACATGAATTGGCACCGCTCACCGTGAGATATGCAGGAAAGCTGATTTCGTCCGGAGTTCGGGGCATCAATCTGCTTGGGGTTGAAGCGGCCGCATTTTGGACTTCCAGCTCGGCGGGGAGTGGCCTTGTCTGCAAATCATGTTTGGCCTCAGCGCGAGCACCTGGGAAACTTGTTTTCGATGCGTGTGACTTGTATGTTCTTGAAAGAAGCTGAATCACACGATCGAGTATGGCGGGAACCGGATTTCCCACCTGTGTCTCCGGGGCTTGCTCTGCCTTCGCCTTTTTCGTGGGGCGATCTTCGAGCGCGTGTAGAACTTGCAGGGCCTGCATGGGAAAAGACAAGATTTGCTCAACTCACGAAAAGTACTAAAACACAGTTCGATGCAACTCGCCTGTTGTGTACCGACGAATAAGAATGGAAATCGTAAGAAATCAAGAACTGATTCAATTCGTGGATCGTTTCAACTCACGGCGGAAGTAAAAGCTGGGTCTACTTCCTCGAGCTCCCCCCACGCAGGAGACTTCGCAGGTGAGCTTTGCCCCAGAGCTTTGCAAACCGCCGCCCTCGCTTCTTCGACCAGACTGTTTGGCAGCGACTTGAACGGAGACCTGTATCCTATTGCTGCAAGGCAAAAGTTGTTTAGTGTCTTTTCAGTTCTGAATAATGTGCTCAGCACTAGATCAAGGCATTCTTATGTTTAAATGCTTTGCACGTTTATTGCGTTGCTGCTAGCAGCTGATGATCTCACCTTGGCATGCAGGGGCGTGGCATTTTTGGTAGAATACTCCTTGAACCAGGTCCACTACCATGTAGACTGCAAGAAGAGTGTTTTAAACGCGGAGTTTGTTGTCTGAAGGAGACTCGTGGGATGGGGCTCAATGACTGCGAGAATAAAGAAGCAAGCCGGGGGTTTTCAGGTACAGGAAAGCCGAAGCTTATGTGCGAGGAGTGTTTTGTTCTTGGGGCTCACCGTTGTTCTGCGTATGGTTTCGGTTGACGTTTTGGCAGAACTTGAAGCCTTTAAACGAGTACGATAGAAAAGCCTTGTTGATGATGATTCTGGACGTTATGCTCGCGCCTGCGTGTTTAAAAAGGCTGGCTGAGAGGTGAACCTAAATTCTTCGAGTTAAGCTTGTGTGTGCAGATTGCGTAGGAGGATGGGATGCATGAAAACTGGAAGCATTAAGAGATGACAGTGCAGTGGACTTTTTTGGCCGAACCTCGTGATCGTGATAGTGATCGTGAGAAAACTCGAACGGACGCCGTCACGAAGTCCTCCAGGCTTCTGATGTGAATTGACCCGTTTGTGCTCACTGCAGATGTTCCGGTTGGTGTCGCCTTGTCACTTTGAGCAGAATGGTCCTGCAGAGCAGCCGAATTATTGTAAGTAATGATATCCAGACGCGTCATACTGCTCTTCAGACTTCAGAACTAAGCCTAGATTGATTTTGCTACTCTGCTTATTGGGAGACGATCTGGAATTGGAGAAGGGTGTCGGGGTCACCTCCGGCGTTTGAAGTGAGGGAAGTGGTGTACTAGACAAAGGCACCAGAGAGGCGAACGAGTGCGTGATTTGATGAGTCAGGTTCTGCAAGACGGAGACAGTAAGATACATGTGAGTCGATGGACAAATTGTTTCCGCAAGCTGCTTCCAAAAGCAAGTTACGTTGGATCTTTCGTTCGTGTCGTTTCCTGAGGCCTGGGAAACCAGCAGAGTTAGCCCGGCTCTTCCATGTATAGACCTTACCTGTTCGGTGAACAATCTGCAGGTCGGGGTGAACGGAACGTCTGGGCCTTGCTGTTTGGTGGAGAAGATGGTTCGGAAGTGTCTTGTCTTTGTGTAAACTGAATGGTCAATGACCAGAGTCTGAGGCAGATTCGGTCCTTGGTTTACCAGTAGTCGCTTCGCAGACTCGTCCCCTGATTGCGCCAGCTGGTAGATCTTTGCGCATATCTAGAAAGCAGCAAAAGGCAGGTGTTTCGTTAAAAAAGAATCGACTTCAATCTGCAGACAAGTGACTGAGGGTGAATGAGATTCAACCTTCAGCATAAGCTTGAAACGTATGGCGATGTCTACTGACCTTGTCAACGAAGCACTTCATGTCTTCATGGACGTTTGCGAAGCACCTGCCGTAAACGGGAACTATGATGTGCCGGCTGAACTTGCCTGCAAAAAACGAGAGCGTTCAATGATGATCCTTGCCAATGAAGTGCATGTCGAACCAATGTATTCACCAGCGAATCCATCTTGTTTGCGAACATCCAGATTGAAAGTGACGACTCTACTCTTCCACATTTTGAATGATTCAGTGATGGTTCAGGTATGCTTACTGGCATACGAGGCGTCTAATTCAACGATGCGTTCTCTCCAGATCCCCGTTCCATATGTTTCTCGACAGATCTCTTCGGTGATCAAGAGCACTGTATCCACCAGATCATGTGCCGACAGGTTGGGGTTGCAAGCCTTGCGGTACTCCAGGTCAAAAAACAAGTGACATCGCCGCCCCTGCAATTTCGAAGAGGAAAGTCAGCGAGATCGCAGAAAGGAAAGAGTCGCGTTCGAAAATCTTTCAACATGGGATTGATACGCGGCTTGGAAGATAGATTCTGCAAGGTTTAGGACCTGCCATGAAAGATTCAGAGCATATTGAGGGCTCACCGTTTGGAAGATTTCGTAAGTGTGTTGCCATTGAAGCCTATTGGCCTGGAAGCTGCGTTGAAATAGGCATTTGGTACTGTCAGCTGATCATCGTCACTGATTAGTATGCGCAACTCGATTGATGGATGATCGTGATAATGGAAGCCTGAGCTGTGATACTGATTTAGAGTCCTAAAACTACATTGACAATCGATTGGCTCAAAGATCAGGTTCGAGGTGTTCTTCATCACGTGTCTCAACCACAACGAATTGCACTGGCTTGTTGCAGGCTCACCTTTTGAGAAAAGCATCAATCGTGACCGCGTAGTAGCTGTAGTTCCCAAATTCTGGGTCTTGTCTAGCCAAAAGCAACAGCCTTTCCGAATCGAAGTAGGAGCCTGCAAAGTTGAACAACTCGGCCAACGTCTTGAAGTATTTCATGACGAGAGGCTCGCTGAGCAACTCGAAGCCGGGCATGTCTGATATGATCTGGTCGCGATTCCTGCGCATCGCCTCACGAATGCTCGGCCTGACGCATGACTCCGGCCGCTTTCGACCTGGCTCCATTTCTCTGTTCTTGTCACGGTCTAGATGATGGCAGCACAGTCACTCGAAAATGGCAAGAAACGCGGTAGCTTTAGTGAGAGGCGCACACATGCAAAGCGTCTCGCCTTGCTCAAAACAGCTCTGAAGTTTTTCCAAGATCTAGGGGGATGTCGAATAAGGTGTTCTTGATGGTTCCTAGGACCTAGGGCTGAAAAATATGAGGATCAACCAATTAATCATGTGGATTGGGGGAAAAAAAACTGTCCGGTCGAGGATTCGAACTCGAGCAAACCGCCACGGGACGACGCTTGCAGTCGACTGACCACTTTGGCCAACGACTTGCGTCAACAACGCACCGTGGCTTCCCGACGCATTGCCGATCTAAATGATATATACAGTTTCAAATCGTCGGTCGCGACAGGACGGGTCGCGCGGCCGCCGGCCAGTAGCCGGACGGTATAGCCTAGCTGATAGCTACTCTAGTCTATAGGCTCGGCTCAGTGATCGAGCCAGTGTAACGTACCGGGCACCGCGGTGCGGCCGGCGGTCGCTCGCTCATACCTCGGGGGTTTTGCAATCGAAAATTCAAATTCAAAGGCAAGCTGAGTCAGTGAAGCTCAGATAAAGCTTTCTCAAGATAAATTGCGTCGACTCATTTCGAGCTAGCTATCATTTGACTCCTAGGTGAGACCGTGGTGATCACAATTGGAATTTGTTCCAAGGAAACACTTGTGAGGGGAGACAATCTATTTGCATTGCAAGCTAAAGAGCATCTAGTGGCGCCTTTTCAATAGTTTCGCATTTGATTTCTACTTTGATCAGGTTTTGTCTGGTTTGGACGGCCGAGAGCTTGCCAGGGTATATTTGAATGTGCTGATCAGCTGGAGATCTTTTTCCGAGGCGCTTCTTCTGTTTCGCAACTACGTTCATTCCAAACCGCAGGACCTAGCAGCTGACAGGATGCCTCCAAAACGATCAAGCTTTGGAGACCAAAGCTCCATTGCTAACCAGAGTCGAGCGGTCTGCTTGATCATCAATGAAGAAAACGCAAAGACATCGTTTCCAAGTGAGGCGCTGAATATGCTCCAGAGAATGGGAAAGCGAATTGGTGTTAGCTCCTGGATGCTGATGGTACCACTAACGTCTTGTGCTTCATACTTTCTGGGACCAAACTCTCGTGTTGAGGTTGAGGGATTGGAATGGAAGAGTAATCTCATTCACTGGGGGTTTTGTGTCGGCCCTAGCGGTTTTGGCAAGTTCCAGGCGTACCACAAAATCAGCACTAACATTGATGTGGTGGAGCGCCTCATCAACGACGAGATTATGGAACATGTATTGAAGAGCGTCGATCGCGAGGTATACAGAGAAGGATCTGCTGAGCTCGAAAAGCTCCTGTCTGAAATCAGCTTTCTGAAAGTGAAGTGCGACGGGGCGGTGAGTCGAATCTTTCAGTTTGATTGCTTGAGTTCGTCTTGTCGAGATTGATGATTGCGCGTGCATCAATATCTGCTCAATCCAATCTCTCAGCTCGAAATAGATTGTCATGTGCATATTGAACGACTGTCATAGTCTCATGAATAGTCTGATCATTTGTATATTTATAGATCATTCCGTCAAGTTGCTCAAATTACACGTCTGCAGCTACTGATCATTTTGTAGGGCATCATCTTGGAGCATTGCCAGATTCGAATCTGCATGCGACTCTCTTGTCTGATCCGATCATTTGGTGCATGTTTCCGGTTTCATGCGTGAGGAATATGATTCAAAGGCAGGATACAAGGATTCTATTCTTGATCATTGGCAAAATGGTTGTCAATCTACGCAGGCCAGATGTAGACGAATCAATCAAGACTGCGAGTACAGCTGGTTTCAATCCTGAAGCAGGCTTGGTATCAATCAACGAGCACTGGTGTACACCTGCATAAAAAGATGTAATGTTTGCGCAGGTCAATTTCGAAAGACTGTTCCAGATGCTCCTCAAGGCTCGAGATCATTCAGGGATGCTTCTCTTCGAAGAGGCTCACCAGTTCTTCGAGATGTTGGATGCGTACAAGAAGGGGAACAACGACAGGGTTCGAGCCTTGCAACTTAAAGGGGGAAGCAGCTGGACGCGAGAGCTGGTCAATGACAACAATGAGAGCAAAACCTGCGAGTATACACACGTGTGCATTGGCAGGTTCACGCAGCCGGAGCCTCTCCAGAGGGAGCTGAGCAAGACTCCGAATGATGGATTGATGAACCGCTACCAAATGGCTTTCCCCCCCCCGGAGTTCCCCGACTTCAGTAAGTATTTGGTTTGGACTCTCTCAGCTGTTTGATGGTCTCCGATCCTGGAATTGGTCCTTGGGATGTCAGGTTGTGCGTTCCTGCAAGGCGAGTCGAATCTGATCATAATGAAACCACTGTGCAGGCCAGTTGTGCATCGGTGAAGAAGAGCAGCAAATCATCGATCAGGACAACGACCTCATGCAGAAGGTAAGACCCTGATGCTTCTGGTGACGAATGAGCAACTCGTGCTCAGCAGTTGGTTCGCAGAATTCGAAATCGACAAAACTCCTTAGACAGACTTAGGAATTGCTTCCTCCATTGTCTCGCTGTTGATTGTTTCCTGTTTCTTGATGTGCAGCTGATGTACCGGCTTTACTGGTTGACGCATAGTCTGGACGACGACAAGGATGTCACGATCTTCAAGCTGGCAGGGAGTGCCCGTGACGTTTTTGGCCAGGGCTTTGACAGCATCCAGAAAGTGCTGCGTGAGCTGTACCTCAAGGACCTCCTCCATAAAGCAGGTGAGCACGGCTTTTGAAAGCAGAGAATCTTCACGGCTCTCTGAAGATAATTGCTCCCAGCAGACGGGATGTATGAGTATTTACAGTCGCGGACACCAGGAAGCAGATCAGAAAGGCGAAGGACTCAAGGACGCGCTTTTCGTGCAGGGATCATCTCAAAGGCCAAGGGCGAGGTGCTCCAAATCTCAGCTATCTTCAGAGCAATGAACCTCGTTCTGGATCCGTCTTACCCGGCTCTGCTCGATCATCCTGAGGCTTTCTTGATCACCGACGAAGACGTGCGGCAGGCTTGGAACTTTGTCAACCTGACCACGAGGCAACGGATTGAGTTTGAGAACGACCAGGACGTGATCAAGGTGTGCAGTAAGGTCCTTGGCTGGAAGCAGCTCGGTTACCCTGACGAGGATGCGAACGAAGACGATGACGAGGATCTCGAAGAAGAAGATGACGTTGCCAACGAGTTGGTAAGCATACTCGACATTTATCGATTCTACAGTCTGAAAGTTCCTCCTTCTCAAATCATGTACAGGCGTGCATGTATTATTGCAACCTCTTGTGCGGCTGCATCCGTGTTGAGAGTTTTGGAAGCTGGCATGCGGCTCTCAAAGAAAACCCTTTTGCCTCTTGCAGACCCCCCTGGACCAGAAGGCAAGGCGACTCTTTCGGGCCTTCCCTGACGAGACCATCGGAAGAATCGAGGTCTCCAAGAAGAGGACGCAGGGCAACAATGCACAGATCAAGAGTGTGTTTGACTACATCTCGTCGCATGACGACGATTCTGTGCACTGCTTCGGGTCCGTCAAGGAGATGGTCAAGCTGTCGTCGAGCAAACAAAAACAAGAGGTCTTCATCAAGATGATTCCGAAGACCGAGGACGAGAACATCATGCTGATCAACAACCTGAACCGGATCGGCATGACTCTGGACACGTTCCTTCCGGCGCGCTCCCGCAAGCGCGCGTAAGTTGCGAAAGCTGCTGGCCTAAGCAAAGTCCTTGAAAGTGAATCGGAAGTCGGTGCAACTTATCTAGAATCTCCTGCGGGCCTGCTTACGTCAAGATTACGGATCCGAATCCCTTCTACCGCGAGTCACTGATACCTTCTTGCTTGGTTGCTGTGCAGCAAGACGAATCGGACTCCGACAACTCTGACAAGAGCAACAAGTCAGCATCCGCTTCAAATGGCCGGGAGATGGACATGGACTAGACTAGACCGAGAGTTCGATCACCTGATTCGCTAGTGTAGGTGTCGCAGTGGTAGCTTGTCTGTCCTTGGTGGTCCTGGTGGCGGCGTGGGCCGCAGCGAGGGCCCGCAGCTGCCTGTCTTGCTCCGCGTTTCGCTTCATGTGATCCAGCTTTGTGATCACCAGGATCATGAAGCGGAAGCGGTGCTCGGACATGTACCTAGACCGGAACATAAACAGCTCTCTAGATGTACGAGTTTGACTCGGCAAGAACGGTCGATAGGCACTTTGGAGCTGCAAGTTTGTCGCACTGCGGCAGACTATACTTGATGTGACTTTTCTGGTACGACTTTCCTAGCACTTTGCATGAAACAACATTGTCCAGTTGCTCCAGCGAATGACGCATGAACAGTGTTCTCACCTCAGAGATGTTCGGAACTGGCCCCACCATTTAAAGCGCTGTTCGCACACCGACATGTTCGCCGACTCCAGCTCGGGATGCTTGTACGGGTTTGTGTGTTCTGCGCACCACCGGCCCACATGGTTCTTCTTGAAGTGGAACTTGTCCACTGCGGGGGGGAAGACGGAAGATGATGTCAGCGATGCATAATGAATGCAACGAGTGCAGATATATATCACTTTGGTTCGATGGCGCATGAGCACGGCGCACCGGCAGTCCGTGCGCCCCCACGACGATGGCCAGCGACTGCTGCCAACAGAAGGTATGTACTACTATCGCTATCTGACCGATACCAAAACCTCCCCTTAACCTGCGCTTAACCGGCCTTGAAAACCCTGGTTTCGATACTTTACTTTCCTTCTTTTTCGCTGCTCGCATTACCTAACCACACAGCTTTCCGAGCCATAAAGCGCACCTTCCCCATTATTTCAAACCCCTCAAATGCGTTCGCACACCCAGAACCCTTGACCGCGCGTTTTTCGCGCTGCAAACCTGGTTTGAAAACCCCAAATTGCACCCCCGAGCCAAACATCCCAACAAACCAACCCTCTGCGCAAACCGGTTTTCTAACCCGATTTCGGACTTTTTGGTTCCGAAACTCGACACTCGTATCCAGGACCCTTCATACCAGACGTGTACAAGCTTAGAATCGAATTTCCGTCATTTCCGTGAATTGCGCTACTGGTCTTTTCTAGTGGTCTTTTCTCGACCTTTTAAAACACGCTTTGTTTGTGCCCGCGTCAGGGTCTCTGCTTCCAACAAGGACAGTTTCTTGAAGGCTTCTGCCTACCCTTATAGGTTCCCTCCACTCACCCCCCGCCTCGTTTCGCTCCATTCGCTCTGAAGTCAGGCGAAACGGCTGCTTTTAAACCCGGATTTACCAGGCATGGCAGTGCCACGCCTCGAAAACCCATTTCTGTTTAACCCTTACCCGACTTTCTGCGGTCACTTTCTGACTCAAAACCTGATCGACCTTGCTCTACACATTGATACGAACTTGTAGCATCTTTGAAAGCTAGTAGTGCACAAAAGTTTCGTCGAGTGCCTTACCGACTTTTTTCGTCTCCTCGTGGAACTCGCGCGTCTTGTCATGCATCGCGGTCCGCCCGCCGCTTGCCGCAAACCGTGCCCAGTGGCACATGTCGTCCATGCCTATGAACTCGGGCAGCCGCACGTGCGCAAACAGGAGCGTCATGTAGTGGTGCACCTGGAGGGGGGCGGCATGCACGGGTCATTGGATCGGACGTTGACTGCTGTCCAAGCCAACACGGACGTTCAAGCCTGAGACCCGGGCGCAACGGGGGAGAGTGACGGACACAAAAGACTGGCCGGCCCATGATGGGTCGGAAAGCTGCCGCATAACTTGTGCCGTGCCACATTGACCCAAGCTTACGAGAAACCAGGAAGTTAAAGTTAAAGCTGAGCGACCAGAGCGGAAAGTTCAGCGCCAGTCGGTTGACTCGCCCTTGCTGTGATCGGAACAAAAAACTCTAAGCGGAACAACTAGAGCGAGGTGTTTCGACTGACCAAGGCAGCGCTCAGAACGGGTTCAACTGGCAGGGTGGCAACGTGTCTCCTCTCACATAGTAACTGAATTGAGCAAGCAGGAGCACGACAACCGGAGAGGAACCAAGAAAGCAAACTTAGCAGAAAGCACAAACTAGAAGCGGAACAACTAGAGCGGGATTTTACCGCCGATCGCTTCACTCGCCCTTGCTGTGCTCGGGGCGATTTCGAGAGAAAAGGACAGTGGTGCGTCCCCCTTTTTGTGCAAAGTCACAAAGCAAACAGCATGAGCGGAACAACTAGTAGAGCGGGATGGCTTGACTGACCCGTACAGCACTCAGAGCAGGCTCGGTTGAAAGGGGAGGTAGTGCGTTGCCCTTCGTAAAGAATCAAAAACCGAGACTATGAACGGTGAAACCGGTGTGTACAAGTGTGGACACGGAGATGTCTTGGGGCTCATGGGAGCACAGCGGGGCTCAAAATCCGGAAGCAGCAAAGGGCCGCCAGTCTGGCAGGGGCGGCAACCTCTGCCCGTTGCTCACCATGGTGGTGGACTCCGAGAGGATGAGCTCTAGCGGGGGGAACATGTACCCGCACACCCAGAAGGCGACCAGTGTGCCGGCGGTCACGCCGCGACCGTCGGAGCCGGTACGTGGGGTGCAGGCTGTCAGCTTGGTCTGCCGGCGCGGCTTGTCGGCAGCCGCCTCCGGCGCGGGATCCGGGACCTGGTCCTCGCGGTCGCGGGTGTAGAAGTCGCCTGCAGCATAGTGCTTGCAGCGCGTCAGAGCCGCAGGATGCAGCGCTTCTCGGAGCAAAATTCGCAGCACGAGTTAGCGGAGAATCATCGATGCAGAACTAGAACATGCAGCTTCGAAAGGGGGAGTTTGTATCCACGACTCGAGAGGAGGATTACAAGCCACATCTCTCCTGCCGTGCAAGTTCCGAGCACGGGAAGCCCTCCCATTTGGAGGCCCTGCAGACGCGATGCCGGCAGCTTTACCTTGCGGCTGCGAGCGAAGGTACTCGTCCAACAGGTCCCGGCCAAAGACGGTGACGTTCTCCTCTGGCTCCCACGTGTTCTCCATGGCCGAGCAACCTTTCCACTTCACCAGGTAAATCGGTACCTGAAGAGAGCGGGGTAGCTCGCAGGTGCCTCAAAATCTTGAAAAGTTAAACTAAATCAATGACGGCGATCTGCAGACCCACGTGAGAACCCCTGAAACCCTAAATGCCTGCCCTAAACTAACGTTTGCAATATGCAGGCCTACGCAAGTTGGACGTACTTCACCCAAAAAGGCCCTGGAACCATGCAGATTTTTAAAGGGATTCAGCTGTTCGTGACGAGTTACTACTGCGAAAAGGAAAAGACCCTTGCAGACCCTAAACCTGCAAGATAGCAAGATCTGCAGAGGCGCTGACAGCTTCTACGTTGGAACCTCCCCTCGGAAGATTCAGCGCAAGAGTTTCCAACACAGAAGCACAAATAATTTTGGCCTCTTCTGCTTAGAGATTATCGTCCTGATACCAAGTATCTTACTGGTCGGATGAAGCGACCACAAACTTCAGCTAAGCTGAAACTTAAGTTAAGCTCAAACTCATCAGACAACGGCGTCCAGGACTGTGATAGATTGTACGGACGAAACCTACTTCACTGCCAAAGAAACTGTAACACTTGCCCATCCAAGTGCGGTTTCAATTCTCAGGCAGATGCGTGCAACCTGACGGTTCTTTACACTAGGAATTTAAGAAGAAGGCACCTTGAGCAGGTAAGTTACGTAGTCCAAACTTGTGCAGGCTCACCCCGTTTTTGAGCATGCTCATCTCGATTCGTTCCGCCTCGTACAGCGACTCGTCCTCCTGCAGCAGCTTCCTGTTCCTCCGCGTCCGCAGCGACACCGGCCCAGCATCCATGTCCCACTTCTCAGCGGACGCAGCAGCACCCTCGATTTCCGAACCCCCCCCGCCCGCCGCACCGCCTCGCTCTTCCTCGGCCCCTCCCTCAACGTCCGACTCGTCGTCCCCCTCATCGTACTCGCCGTCGCTGTCGAGGTCCCGGAGATCGATCTCCTCCACATCGCCCGCCCCGACCTCGGCGATCTGACCGTCCCCTAGCCCCAGGATTGCTTCCAGCTGTCCCGGCTGCCCCAGCTGTCCCGGCTGGCCCCCCGCATCGCCCGGCACTGCCGCACTTCCGGCCGGCACTCCTGCGTGGTGCACGCGGCAGTACTTCTTGCTCTTGAGTGGGGTCCTGGGACAACCCTTCACAACCCGGCCGATTGCGGTCTGGAAAAGCTCATCCTCCTTGTTTGCACAGCATGCCCGAAAGACCTTGGCATTGCCGTCGAAGTGGCAATACCTCCCGCAGAGCTCATTCTCGCAGCGCTTGCTGTGCTCGAGAGCCTCGTCTCGCAGGTGGCACCAGAACGGATCGTTGAGACAGCTGAGGATGCTGTCGATCGGGTCACGCAAATCTAGTTCCTCTAGCAAGCTGGGGCTGTGCTCCTGGCAGAATCGGACGGCCCAGAACTGAAAGTATGCGTGCTCGAATCGTTGCCTGTTTAGACTCCCCCTTAGAGACCGTTTTCGCTGCACCCGCTGGAGAGCTGCCGCAGGCTCTTCTGAGAAACGGTCAAGGTCGAAGGACGCATTGTGAGCACGAACTGCAGAGACGAAGCTGGCGTGCATATAGTACCTGCAGAGATTGAGGAGGCCAAGCCTGAGCCACACAAGCTGACCGGGAGACTGACGGGTGCCCGCATGCAGTTGCAAAACACACTTTCAAACTTCAGAAACCCTGGAAGCACCGTGTCCAAGATCCTGGCAAACTTTCTGATCTGATCAACCTTCATAGTTCGAACGCTCAGCCTCGATGGCATAATCTGCTGAGAACCACCCTGTTTCTGTTCCGGGCACATCCTTCAGAAAGATTGATCCCTTTTCATTTCTTCAAAGCGAAGAAGCAATGCAAACCTGCAAAACCTGAGAATGCAAGTGAATCAACGCTTGTTGGGCAGAATGCTGCTGTGGAGCAATGTTAGCATTTGCTTGGAGTCCTCAACTGAGGCCAGAAACAACGGCTGATGCTGCGTCTTGTAAGCCACTTTCTTTATGGTCCCCAAATAGTCAGCCACAAGTTGGCAGCAATGGATGAGCACTCTTTCCTTTCAAACTCGAACTAGAGAGAAGAGCCAGCAACAATCTGAAAGATTGTGGAAACCAGAATGTTTCTTGAATTTCGAATGTAATCCTGAAGCCTCAGCATAACCGCAGAGAGACCGATCACTCACAGGTGTTCATCATGGCGCCGGAGCAGCTCCTTGCCGATCAGCGTCTCCCCCGTCAGCTCCAGCCACGTGTCATTGTCGTGGGCAGCAGGGTATGGCCGGCGCACCTCAGAGTCTGGTGAACAGTAGTAGCTTCTCGAAAAGAAAGCATTGCATGCAGGGCAGAACTTCTCGTGCACGATCCCTTTGCCAGGCGGGCCGTCGTGCGGAAAAAAGAATGGCTTTCTGGCCTTTGACTCGTCCACCCATCTCAATTGCTCGGAGCACAGGAAGCATGTTGTGGGCTTCGGAAATGCAACAAAGAGCAAGCACTGATTCTGCGCAATCTCCCTGACCGCTGGGCGCTTTGCGCCCGCTCAGAAGTGACAGGTCCCCGGAAGCACCCTTCAGCTTGTCGATCACGTTCTTTAACAGCGACCCTATCTATCTTGCTGTGCGGCGGCAGGGTGATGTTTACAATGGAGGCAATGAGCTCTGTCCTGGTTGGAAAGGGCTGCGGAAAAAGCTTCAGGCAGTCCAGGAGAAGCACGAAGCTCATCAGGCACAGGGGCGCTGCAAGGGCGTCGATCTTGCCCATCGGATCTGACGCGCCCAGATCTCCGCGCTTCTGTTTCTTGCTGGACATCTTCGGGGCTGGGTCCTTGAGCTACATGGCCTGGGCAACTGGGGGGCCGGGGGGGGGGTGGCTTTCGTTAGGGCGCCGCAAACTAACAAGCTTTGCGTGATACCTAGACTGCAACGCTTATAATGGAGGCTGCCAAATGGCCCTCCTGACTGCGCCAAGACCCAATGCAGAATGCTGTCCCGCTTTTGCTGAAGTTGTGACTGTACATGCACACACGCTTGGCTGTGTGCTTGAGCTACATGGCTGCGGCGACTGGGGGGCCGGGGGGGGGGTGGCTTTCGTCAGGGCGCCGCGGAATGACAATGTCTGAGTACATCCTAGAGTGCAACCATGATGAAGAGGGGCTGCCAAATGGCTCCTCAAAGGCAATGCTGTCTTCCCCGCGCCTCTAGTGTCCTCCCTGAAGGCTACCTATGCACAAACCATGTCGCATGCATCTCTTCATGCTCATCCTCCTCTTTTCTCTCAGTGAGCGGAATGAGGCGGAGGAGACCGGTGAGGGCCGGGGTTATAGGCCCTCCCCGGTGGATGAACAAAATGAGGCGGAGGAGGGGGATGAGGGCCGGGGTATAGGCCCCCCCGGGGAGGATGAGGG